CTCCCACCACCATTCTCCCCGCCCTAGGTCTGTGAGTCTTCCGGAGCACTCTGTCTAGATCCACCTTCGCCTGAGGTCAAGAGATTGAGCTTCTGAATGACCTTGTCCAATCTCCACCCGAGATCTTTCTGGCTCTTTTCGGTGCTGCTGAGCTGAAGTTCCACGTCCCCCACTTCTGGCTACCGAGGATCCAGTGGTTTTGATACCAAAATGGTATCGATCTTTTCTCTGATAAGAGAAGAGATCTTCTTCTTTCCCCGAGCAATGGTGCTCAACACCGCTCACAGAGGAGTTAAGAACAAAGGACAATTTTGGATAGTAATTCACTGTATATGTTTATTCTCATATGGAGGTGTTTATATAACCCAATCTGTTACAACTAGTAGTAGAGGATCATTGAATAACCGAATTAATCTTCTTGTAACTGAAAATATTCCCTCATGCAAGGTGGCAGGCTGCATGTGAGACTCTCATGCAAGGTGGTGCTCGGGTGGCGGGTGGTCTAGCTGGGATGCATTCGGAGCAGGATCCGGGATCCATATCACATGGAGACATGGAGTCCTACACCTCATGACCCAAGATGAATTTTTGTCTGCACTTATCTAGGTCAATTTTAATGTTGAGTATGGAAATTTCAACCATCGTGAATTTAGAAATAGATTAAACACCATGACTTCGTTACCATTATTGAGTTTAGAGAGGTTTGGTATTATAGATGATGAATACCGGTGATGGATGCCTAGACGGTGTCTCTCCTCTCTGCTTGTGTCCAAAATACTAAAGAGAGAGAGGTGGTGACGGTAACAATTTATTGATCAAATTTCTGTGAGATTTCCAAGGTTTTCATTTAGCTTTACTATCTGTCACATTATTCAGAAAATGTTCTGTCTTGGAAAATTTTGAAGATTAATAAAAGGCAAATTTGACATTTCAATCTTTTTCTCAATTGTTTAACAATGATGCTAATTGTCAAAAAACTTTGGGATGCTTTAAGGGATTTTGCAAACAATAACGGTGTATAAACCTAGTTCTTAAAACTTATGGATAATTTAAGAGATTCTCTTAAAAAATAAGGAAAAATATGTAAAATTGGTTTAGACACAGAACGCAGAGCAACAATTGGAGAAGAAGACTATGATTTCATTAAGTGACTGAGATATTTATAAATAAAATTTGTAGGAGAAAATAACCAACTAATAGTTGTACACCTAAGCCCGAAGGTTGTTGTAACAAATGACAGTTGTACAACTAACTTACAGCTGTAATATCTCTAACGCCCCCCCTTCAAGTTGGAGCATGGATCAGTCGAATGCCCAACTTGGATAAAAGGTGATGAAATTGATCGGAGTTGAGAGCTTTTAGTAAACAAGTCATCCAACTGGTTGTAACTAGGTAAATGTTGTGGATGGATGGTTCCTTGCTGAACATGGTCTCTAACAAAGTGGCAATCGATCTCGATGTGTTTTGTACGCTCGTGAAATACTAGATTTGCTGCGATGTGTAAGGTAGCCTTACTGTCACAATATAGAGGTATGGCATTACAGAGATGGTGAGTTCAGCAAGGAGTCTTTTGAGCCATAAGAGTTCAGAAGTTGTGCCTGCCATTGCACGATACTCAGCTTCAGTAAAGGAGCATGAAACAGTATGTTGCTTCTTTGTTTTCCATGATATGGGAGAGTTGCCAAGCATGGTAATGTAGCCTGTAGTGGAACGTTGTGTTAGTGGGCAGTTGGCCAAATCTGAGTCACAAAATCCTCGAAGGATGAAGTCATTCTGGGCTGCCATGAAGATGCTAGAAGAGGAAGTGCCTTTGAGATAGCAGACAACACGCAAAGCAGCATCGAGATGTTCTTGCTTGGGGTCATGCATGAACTGACTTAAGCAGTTGACAGTGAAGCATAAGTCTGGTCCAGTGACAGTGAGGTACATTAGTCGGCCAATATGCCTACGATATTGTGTGGGATCAGCCAGAAATGGACTAGAAGTGTCAATGAAGTGTCTTTGGCACTCCATGGGTGTTGGTGCAAGCTTGCAGTCTATCATTCCTGTATCTTGAAGTATCTCACGAATATATTTTTGTTGTTGAGAAATAAGCCTGAATCAGTGCGGGTTACTTCAAGGCCCAAGAAAAAACTGGGTGGTCCAAGATCCTTGATTCCAAAGTGCTCATTGAGGTAGGCTTTGAGAGAAGAAATGACTAAGGGATCATTCCCAACAACTATAACATCATCAACATAAACTACGGCAGCAGTGTAATTTGTTTGGTAAACAATGAAAAATCTGTCATAGATTGAGTGAAGTCTAGGGAAAGAAGAATTTGGGTGAATTTATGAAACCACATGCAAGAAGCCTGTTTGAGCCCATAAAGAGATTTCTACAATTTACATACTCGACAATCACCTTGTTTGGCAAAACCAGGAGGGATAGTCATGTAGACTTCTTCATCAAGATCTCCATGTAGAAAAGCATTGTTAACATCTAGTTGGTGAATGTTCCAATTCTTGACTATGACAATAGCAAGTACGCAACGTATTATAACTAATTTTGCTACAGGCGCAAATGTGTCATGAAAATCAACACCTTCCACTTGGGTGTAGCCCTTGCCTACTAAACGTGCATTGAACCGCTCGATTGAGCCATCAACACGATATTTAATGCGATAAATCCATTTTGAACCAATAGATCGTTTACCATGTGGCAGTTCTGCAAGAGTCCAAGTGTTGTTCTTTTCCAAGGCTGTAATTTCATCATCCATCGCTTGTTTCCATCGAGGGTCAAAGGTTGCTTGGGCATATGTAGTGGATTCAACCTCTAATGAACTGGTTGCATTATTAGAGGATGATGGTGGGAGGGAATATATGTAATCTTGTAGTCGGGCTGGGACTTTGTGAAACCATTATGGTCGTGTGGTGATAGCTGGGATCTATTGATTTGTGGGTGAAAGAGGCACAGTGGTGGGTTCAGGTTCATGGATATTAGGAGTTGGAGGGGTTGAGTTTTGAGTGTATTCGGCAATGATCTCATTTGTGGACTGGAGAGCAGTATCAATGTGGGTCTCATTTGATTGTGGTAAAGGAATGATGGGGGATGGATGGGGTTTCTGAGTTTGGGAGAAGGGGAAGATATGTTCATAAAAACTTACAGGGAAACAAATATACGACCAGTGGTTAGGTTGAATATACGGTATCCTTTCTTACCATGTGGGTAGCCAACAAAGATACCTTTAATAGCCTTACTTGAAAATTTATCAAGGGGTCGGGATGCACTTAAGCATAATATAGGCACCCAAATACACGTAAATGTTCATATGATGGTGGTGAATGAAATAGTGCATCAAAAGGTGAGTAGCTAGATAACACCGATGTAGGGAGAAGGTTGATGATGTAAGCGGCTGTCAGTAAACATTCACCCCAAAATGAAGTAGGGAGTGAGGCCTGAAATTTCAAAGCACGAGCTACTTTCAGAAAATGTCGATGTTTGCGCTCAACTATAACATTTTACCGGGGGTATCAATGCAGTGGTTTGATGCAAGATGCCATGGTGAAGGAAGTACTCTTGCAGTGGCCGTGACATGAATTCAGAGCCATTGTCGGATCTAACCATTTGAACTAAACAATTGAATTGTTTATGCACCATGTTGCAAAAGTATATGAGGAAAGGGACTGCCTCTGATTTATTTCATAGCAGATATACCCAAGTACAATGGGTTTTATCATCTACAATTGTTAGAAAAGAATGAGCCCCAGAATGTGAAGGAGTTCGATAGCCTCCCCATATATCACAGTGAAGAAGCTTGAATGGTTGAGAAACACGAGTTGTGCTGATTGGAAATGGAACCCGTGCTTGTTTGGCACGGTGGCAAGCATCACAACAAGTGTTTTGGGAGCTAGTTTGAACACCAAGAATAGAAGAAATACTACTTTTGGAAGCTTGGCCAAGTCGCCTATGCCATATGGTGCAATTATCTTCAAAGACAGTCGAATAAGTAGATGAGGGTGTCTAATCCACAAACTTGAAGTGGTAGAGACCATGGTGGAGTTTACCCACTCCAATCACCATCTGGAAAGCAAGGTCCTGGAGGACACAAAAGGTTGGAAGAGTAATACCATGCAGTTTATTTGAGCAGTAAGTTTACTAATGGACAGTAAATTGCACTTGAATTGTGGCATGTATAGCACGTTATGAAGAAAAGTCCCATTAGCTAGAGAAACATAGCCTTGTCGGCTTGTTGGACATATGTCACCAGTGGATAGATGAACTGGTTTAGTGAGGTTGCAGTGTGTGGTAAAATTCAGGTATGAAGCAACCATGTGGTCAGAAGCTTCATTGTCCAAGATCTAAGAAATAGGAAGTCATTACCGAATGCATTTGCCACTGCAAACTCAGGGGAGCTTATGTTCAACAAAGAGAGCAGTTGTGTATATTGCTGCATGGTAAGTCCATTGATTGGAGAGGTATCAGTGGTGTTGCAAGGCTGTGAAGGAATGGATTCAGTTCCAATTGCATAAGAACTCGATCCATTGCTAGGCCAGGTAGCTGGGGCCTTGTTGCTTTGACGGCCATATTTTCCTTTTCCCCAGTTGGGAGGGTATCCGACTAATTGGTAGCATTTGTCTTGAGTAATGCCCCTATCGTTGGCAATGATCGCATCGAATCTTGGTTCAAGCTGGTCCATTTGAAGCACGAGGTGGTGGTTGAAACGAGGCTTGCAGTGCCGATGCTTCAGGAACCGGCGGGCCACAAAGAGAAATAGACTGTTGATGACGTTATTCTTGAAGTATCAAAGAATATGCCTTATTGAGACAGGGCAATGGATCTGACCCAAGGATGCTGAACCGTATGGTGTTGTAGTTTTCATGCAAGCCCATAAGGAATTGATGCAATCTTTCCTTCTAACGTTCAGCCGCAAGTATCTTTATAGCAGCGCCACATGCGCATTTTGGATAAGTGATCAAGGTGCTGAGCTCATCCCAGAGTGTTTTTAATCTGGTGAAGTAGCTGGTGACAGAGAGATCGGCTTGCTGTAGCATGGCCAAATCATGTTTCAATTGATGGATTCTTGGAATGTCACTCTGCGAGTATCGGACTTCCAGTTCCTTCCACACATCAAAGGCTGAATCTACGAATGCCACACTATCGTAGATTTCTTTTATCAGCGAATTGAGGATCCATGCCACAACCATGGCTTTGCACTTCTCCCAAGCAGTCCACTCCGGCGAGGTTGGGTCAGGACATGACAAAGATCCGTCTATGAAGCAGCATAGATTTGTCAAAATCCTTCACGGTGTTTATCTTTCTGGCAGCATAGATTTGTCCCTTCCCAAAAGTAAAGATGGTTTACTTTCTCTTATGGATAGGTATTCATCAAAATTTATGGATGTTTTGATTGGTCATAAGTCTTCCGGTTTCATGTATTTTTTATATCATAGATTTTTCAAAAAGGGTGAGTTTTTCAAAAGTATATATTTTGTTAGAGATATTACAACTGTCATTTGTTACAACAACCTTCGTGCTTAGGTGTACAAATGTTGACGGCGATTGGCCACGGATCGAAAGATTATCCCAAGCGCTCTCATACCATGTAAAATTGGTTCAGACGCAGAACACAAAGCAACAATTGGAGAAGAAGACTGTGATTTCATTAAGTGACTGAGATATTTATAAATATAATTTGGAGGAGAAAATAACCGATTAACATTTGTACACCTAAGCACGAAGGTTATTGTAACAAATGACAGTTGTACAACTAATTTACAGTTGTAATATCTCTAACAAAATATATACTTTTGAAAAACTCACCCTTTTTGAAAAATCTATGATATAAAAAATACATGAAACCGGAAGACTTATGACCAATCAAAACATCCATAAATTTTGATGAATACCTATCCATAAGAGATAGTAAACCATCTTTACTTTTGGGAAGGGACAAATCAATGCTGCCAGAAAGATAAACACCGTGAAGGATTTTGACCAATTGAAGTTACCCCGTGAATGTGATAAATAACCACCTTTCCCCTTGGGTACCAATGTTTATCATGCCTTTGTCTTCATGGTATCAAAACCACCTTTACTATGCCAAGGATTGAATCGGTATGATGGTATCGAATATCATTTTGGATAACTTGGACACAGATATGTTTTCAAAATGCATAGATATGGATGAATGATATGAAAATGCTTGAATATGTCAAGAAAGCATATGCAATATTTAAAATTGAATTATCTATGAATAAGGTATAAAGTATAAACATAAGACATGCACACTTTAATAGGTTAAGAGAAACATTAGGATCAATAATACAAAGGCTCTAAAAACATGTACGCATCATACAATAATTATTATTATTATATTTTAGTTTTTATAGTTATAACTCTATTCTAGTTTTGTAATTATACTTTTTATTTTTCTTAAATTTTTTAGAAATATTTATTATTTAGTATTTTATATAAATAATAGCTCTATTTTTTCAACTAGTAAATATGTTTTCATTTTTAACATATAATTTATATGTAAAATAAAATATATAAACATATAAATCATTTAAGGTAGATAAAATAAATTATTTTTTAATTTTCAGTTGTTAATAATTTTTTGGAGAAAAATAAATATTAGATTATTTTTTTCAAATTTATAATTATAGACATATTTCAACTTTTATAGCTATAATTTTTATTTTTATTACAATATAAAAACAGTCCAAAAGTGGTTAATATACAGAGTGATTTGAACCTTCACCACTTGTGTAAATAACAAATAAGAGTTAGTTTTTTGTTTTAAGTACATAAATATAGGATTAAGCGTAAATTTCTTAAACTACCTTTATAGTTTAGCTAATTGACTAAGTGTACCCTTACTGTTTGAAAATCGACTAAAACTATCCTTATTGTTTCTGACAATTGACTAATACTTCCCTTACCGCTAGTGCCCTTTAATGGAAAGACAAAAAGACTATTTTACCCTTTATTTTTCTTCAAATTTTCAAAATAAAACTATGATTTGGAAAAGAAACACTAATTCATCAAAACCCTAACCTTTCAAA